AGTTTATAAAAAAATGTTTTTAAAATAAATATATATAATTTTTTTTTTTTCAAGTACACTGTCCGTATTCCTCGCCAGTGCCATTGACATGTGTGGGTACCTCTAATTGATGTCATCAGGTAGAGATCAATCCACCTACTAAGTACTGAAGCTCTATGTAGTACCTCAAATGGTGTCCAAATTCTGAAGTTTTGGGGTTTGTTTGGTGGCCCCTGCTTGTAATGGCCTCCAGGACCTAAGAGGGCCTTATGTGCATGCATGGGCTGCATAAAAGGGGTTGATCCACAATTGCCAATAGATTAAAAGAGAACTAAAGCCAATCCTTTTTTTTTTGCTGTAGTTTTCATTTGAGTAAAAGGGGTATATTCACTTATCTACTCCGGACCCAAAGTCAGCATATAGCGGGCTACTTCCACTATATGCTGACAGCATAGAACCATGCTGTAGCTGAGAAGAATCCTGACAATATTGTCGGGGCCCACCCAGCTGCCTGATTGATAGCTGGCTGTGCCTTTCTAGAGCCACAGCCAGCTGTGTCCCTGTCTATCCCGCCAATGAACGTTGGAGGAACGGAGAGAGGAGGGAGGAATCCCTGCAGGGAGCAATGACTGGTAGTTACCTCTGCAGGGAGAAGACCATGAGCTGAGCAATGAGCTGAGCAATGAGCAGTAACATTTTCGCTCAGCTCTCAAATTATGGAGTACGCGTGTGACAGCTGCAGTGTCACATGCCGACTCTAAGTTTTATATTTTACTCTTCCAATACTTATCCTTTAATCCTTATATAAGTACATGGGCAGAAATAAAAAAAGTGATGTAGCTCAATGGTGCATTTTGCTTGAATAGCCCTTCATGTGATAATATGACTGGGGTTCACACATTTAGGGCAAACAAGATGAGATTACTAAGGCTATTGTAAACATCAGTAATGCATATATGTCTGTGAAATCGCAGTTGTTTTGTTTAAAAAATAAGGCTGTTTTTACAATGTTTACATTTTTTTGAAGGGATTACCTTGGAAACCACACATTATGGGAAAAATGCAAAGTATTTGAGCAAGACAAATACAAAGTAAATACAGAAACCACCATCACCTGGAATCTGACACTCTTCTGCATGCTTCTGATCATGGGTGGGACACAAGCTGTACTCTGTGCTATACAAGCTATCAATGGTTTAATAGGGACAATCTGTGGAGAATGCAAGTGCTGTGGGTGCTGTGGGGTAAGTTAAAACAGCTTTCCTAGTAATATGTATCTTAATAAAAAAAAAATCTGCATTTAAAAAAAATCTGTTTTATATCAACTGAAAAGTTGTACAGCTAAACTAAGAAGTACAATGTTAAAAGTTGTAAACCGGCAAAAAAAACAACTGGGTATGGAAAAGACCAAACCTCCCCGTCCAAATAAAATCCACTCACATACTGAACAAGCGGAATGAAGACTTTCAGCTACAATGTGGCCACATCCATTGTTCCCCATGTGGTGTATCAGACTGGCTCTGACTGTTGAATTTGTAAGATTTGTACCATACACGTCTTTACTAAACATCATACTGCATGATAAATGGAGTTTCCATTAACTGTCTATTATTTGCTCTACCTCTAATGAGAACACACAATACATCACTGGATTCTTAACTCCTTATATAGCAAGTGATACACATAGGAGCATCCAGTGTAGGAATACTCCGAATGATAAGCACTTCCATTCAATAACTCCTGACTAAAATGAATGATTTATTGTAACTCTATTGAAGGAAACCTCTTCAACATTACACAAATGCACACATGAGGAAATGGATGAAAAGTTAAAAAAAAACAGCTAAATACACAATTTAAAAACCTTTATAGGGGACATTTTATCTGACAAAGGATTTGTGAAGTAATGCACATACTCTTGTGATCAGTATAACCATACTGCCTAAGGCTGGGCACACACCTTACAACCATCGCAAGACTTGCGATGGTTGTAAGGTACTTAAAAAAACATACGATCTACTTATCTTGGACAGGCAGATCGTACTTGCGATGATCGCAAGCCGCGCCCCCGAGGGGCGGGCTTCCGATGACCGCAATGCCGAACGGGCAGTGTGCGCTTGCGCACACCGGACCGTCTGGCTTTTATCTTACGAACATGCTACGTAAGTTTAAAGTCGTGCGACCTTACAGTAGTAGAGGTCGCACGGCTTCCACACACCTTACGATAATCGTACGATTGCGGGATTTCCCACGATTATCGTACCATTATCCCAAGGTGTGTGGGGAACTTTAGTTGTGGGAATTGTATAAAGAGTATACCTTCAGTACTGACGGATGTTATCAATAGACTACAAGTGAGGTGATGTCACCACACCTTTGTACTCCACTGAGCACTACAAGTCCCTCTACATTCACAAATCCTGTAATAAAAAAACAACAGATGCCTGCAGGGAGAAGCGCAGGTGAGTGGGGGGAGGGGGGGCACGCTGACGGTTGGGGGCTGTGTAATAGCACCATTTTCCATGTTATACCCTAAATATGGGTGTAACATGGAACATGGTAGTAAAGGTGGAATTAGCCTGTAAACTTCTAGAATAAAGGCTGTGGCACTGTCACAGAAATAAGGACAAGAGAATCACTAAAAAAACAGCTAATGGTGGGAAAAACAATACATATGATTTTCTTTTAGGGGCCCGACAAAGGCTGCAACTTATTATTATTTTACTATATTTCTTTGCCTTGTCTACATTATACCTACTAATGTTTGCATCCTATTTCTGCCAATTGGTGCCATATGGTAGCAACACGCAAAAAAATATTTTTAATAATAAAAACATCTATTTTCTCTCACTCAGAATGACGGACCTGTCTAAATCCTGGTGATTTTCTACATTACATGACTCATGTGCCTTATGTACAAATATCATCAAGCAAGGAAGAACATTGAGCCAGATTACGGATGAAGAGCCTGTATGACTCTGACTGATTATTCTGTAGGACACCAGAAAATCTTGTCACACTGCAAACAATGTATTTCATACTACAACTGTTACCCTCTGTTCCCTTACATCTCACTCTGTTATCTGTATTTATTTTGCACTAATGTCATTGCCAACAATTGGCCTGTGAGCTGCAGGAGCTCCTCAGCTTCCTCTGATAGTGGTGAGCAAACTCTAGGCAGGTACCTTTCCAAATGCCTGTCTGAACACCTTTATATTATACTTCCCATAACATTTATAGCAAAATAATTTATATCATTTCATTAAAACTTTAATGTTATTTTTAATAAAAAATTATTAAGTCTTATTTTATTTTTGTTGTTATTGTATTATTTTTTTTGTGTGCCCAACAACAGTTATATTTGGATCTTGTTTATCGAGTGGCGATACGTTTACAGGCTTTTATAATTACTTTTTACCTGCTACAAGAGCACAGAAAGATGGTTAGCCTATGGTCTGACGGTGATCCTGCCGTATTCAAGAAACAATAATAAATATTTTAAAAAATCATAAAATGAAAAGAATATTTGGTTAACAAAAACCTAAACCAAATTAAAATGTACCGGTATGTAAATATATATATTTTAATTTCTTTTAGATAGTGGCGAGTGGTTAGAGCTCCTGTCAGATTTTTATTGCTAACATTTGGAAGTGGAAAGAGAGCGCTGGACCTGTGTGATTATTCTCTTGGTGTTTATCATCCAACAGTGATCAAGTGATGTGAATATGTGTAATCTGGCTAATGGATAGGCAGCTATCACTGGCCAAAGGGTCTCCACAGTATCCTTGGCTTGACAGTGAACACAGTAGATATAGGAATTGAAGCGTCACACCAATTAAAAGAGTCCAGATACAACTTTATTCCATCGGGCTCAGGGGACAGTTGAGTAGA